CATGCTGTCTCTTCGGTGGTCTGCATAGGAATGGCAGAGGATCCTCCCTGCTTCCCAGAATTCTCCTGTTCTCATTGCATCACCTCTACTTCCTGTCTGGTTTTCCCGCCTATACTGCCTGCCTGGCCAATCAGCGTTTTATTAAAATATGATTGACAGAATACAGACAATTCTCCTGCATCAGGGTCGCTCCAAGCAAGGAATACAGGAGCCAATAAATCCTAAACTAATATCAACAAACAGGTCCTGGGTTTTTCCTAGGCGCCACTGGGGCAGCACGGCCCATACCATGGAAAACAGAGACTCCTGTATGGGTTCCCCAGTGGCCACTTACCTCTGAAAAACTGGAAGCAGTGAATCAGCTAGTTAATGAGCAATTGGTTCTGGGACACATAGAACCATCCACCTCTCCATGGAATACACCCATTTTGGCATTAGAAAGAAATCATGAAGATGGCGTTTGCTGCATGATTTGAGAGCCATTAATGAACAAATGCACCTCTTTGGGCCTGTGCAGCAAGGACTCCCGGTGCTTTCAGCTTTGCCCAAAAATTGGAGTCTGGTAATGATAGATACTAAGGATTTTTTTTTCTATTCCATTGCATCCTGCTGATAGGCCTTGCTTTGCTTTTACTGTTCCTTCAATTAATCATATAGAGCCTGATAAACGCTTTCAATGGAAGGTTTTGCCTCAGATTATGTCAAATAGTCCAACAATCTGTCAGATGTTTGTGCAGGAGGCTCTTAAACTGCTTCGTGAACGTTTTCCATGTTTGCTTGTGGTTCATTACATGGATGATGTACATATGTGTCATGAGGACTTACAGGTCCTAAAGGAAGCCTACCCGTTGCTCGTTAAAAATTTACAGCTATGGGGTCTTCAAATAGCCGCTGAAAAGGTCCAGATTGCAGATACTGGCCAATTTTTAGGTTCTGTTGTTCTCCCTGAAAAGATCCTACCTCAAAAAATAAAAATTTATAGGGACGATTTGTGAACGTTAAATGATTTCCAAAAGTTGTTAGGAGATATTAATTGGCTGCGACCATTTTTAAAAATCCCCTCCGCTGATTTGAAGCCATTGTTTGATAACTTGGAAGGGGATACTCATATTACCTCCCCTCGGGCCTTGATGCGGCAGCAGAAGCAGCCTTATTACTAGTGGAAGAGTCCATTAAGGAGGCACAGCTGTGCCGCACTGATGAAACTCAACCATTTGTTCTATGTGTGTTTAAAACAAGAAAGCTACCCACTGTTGTGTTATGGCAGGATGGACCGTTACTGTGGATCCATCTGCATACTTCTCCTAACAAAAGTATTGATTGGTATCCAGCCGCTATAGCTCAAATTGCCCTTAAAGGCCTTAAAATGTCTGTTAGTCATTTTGGTAAGCATCCAGTGGTTATGATAGTTCCCTATACCTCCTTTCAGGTACAAACTTTGGCCGCTGCCTCTGACGATTGGGCCATTTTGGTTACCACCTTTTCAGGAAAAATTGATAATCATTATCCCAAACATCCTCTGCTGCAGTTCGCTGCATGTCATCCCATTGTGTTTCCCCGAGTTACGTCTTCTGCCCCGCTAAAAGACGGGATGACGGTTTATACAGATGGCTCCAAGAATGGTGTGGGAGCCTATGTTGTGGGTTCTAAAATATATACAAAGAACTTTTCTGCCACCTCACCCCAGGTGGTGGAATGTATGGTGGTTTTAGAGGTTCTTCAAAGATTTCATTGTCCCCTTAATATTGTTTCTGATTCTGCCTATGTGGTTAACGCTGTTAAATTATTAGAGGCCGCTGGAATTATAAAACCTACTAGTACAGTGGCAGTTCTTTTCCAGAGGATACAGGACTGTTTACTAAATAGGAGAGCTCCATTTTTTATCACACACATAAGAGCACATTCAGGGCTCCCAGGCCCCATGAGCTTGGGTAATGACCTGGCTGATCGCACCACGCGGCTTGCTGCGGTAGCTCTCGCCTCCCCGTTGCAGACCGCTAAAACCTTTCATGATAATTTTCATGTTACAGCTGAAACCCTGCGCAAACGTTTTTCACTTACCAGAAAAGAGGCTCATGATATTGTAACCCAATGTCACAATTGTTGCCAGTTTCTTCCTATCAGACACACTGGCGTGAACCCCAGAGGGATTACGCCCTTGCAAATATGGCAGATGGACGTGACTCATATCACTGCCTTTGGAAAACTTCAGTATGTGCATGTGTCAATTGACACATGCTCTGGCGTTATTCATGCCACACCACATACAGGAGAAAAAAACTCTTATGTCATTCAACATTGCCTTGGGGCATGAAATGCTTGGGGCAAGCCCACATCTTTAAAAACGGATAATGGGCCTGCCTATACTTCTCAAAAGTTTAAACAATTTTGTGCACAGATGCAGGTCACCCACATTACAGGCCTGCCTTATAACCTCCAGGGGCAGGATATCATAGAGCGAGCACATCGCACACTCAAATCTTATCTACTTAAACAGAAAGGGGGAATAGTGAAAGAGTTGCCCCCGATGCCAAGAGTGGCCATTGCCATGGCTCTGTTCACTATAAATTTTTTAAATCTGGATGATAATGGCCAAAATGCTGCAATACAACATTGTTCGGATCCACAGCGGCCCAAAGATTTGGTTAAATGGAAAGATGTGCTTTCAAATGAATGGAAAGGCCCGGATCCCATTCTATTGAGATCCAGGGGAGCTGTTTGTGTCTTCCCACAGGATCAAGAAAGCCCATTCTGGGTGCCGGAGAGACTGACCCGAACGGTGAAGAGTGACCCACAACACGCGGACTCGCCTGAGGATTTGGCTGCTGTTCCTCCTGCCATTTTGCGGACGGATGACAGCGGTTGTGATGGAACACCGATGGGGGATACTCTCAGCCTTCCCAAAGCCAACACCAGTCAGCCATAGAGTGGCGGTGTTTCCTTGGTTTTTTACAACCAATAAGACTCTGGGGCTCCCCTACCTTCCTAGAGATGATTTATAAGCTTGGCCGTAGGATTCCAGTCCTGGGTCGTGTCCTTCATCTCCTACTTCAAAGAATGGGTGGGGGTGGGAATGTTTGGAGCAGCCCTATGCTGCGGAATAGTGTTTCTCCTCTGGATGGTCTGCTGACTCAAATCCCAAAGTCGTAGGGACAAAGTGGTTATTTGCACAAGCGCTGGCTGCCCTAGAGCAGGGAGCCTCTACTGATGTGTGGTTATCTATGCTGAAGCAGTAAGGTTTATGCCAACCAGCTCCTGCACCCCTAGGACAGTGGTCCATGGCACAGGGTGGAGTGTTTGGCTTAGCTAGCCCTGAAGGTTGTCGAGCTGAAGAGCATCGCACAGAGAATGGCCCTCTCTGAGAGATATGTCGCCCTGCATAAGGGTTTCCTGCCGCATATTCCCTTTCCCAGAAAAATGGCAGAGGGCAGGCCAGATAAGTTCCAGGTGTCATGAACCTAGGGGGCAGATTCCATGCAAGCCCATTTTAATGTTTCCACTTTGGGAAGTGCGACCTCTATCCTTGCCTTCTGAGGGAGTTTCCTTTCTGCAAAGAAGTAAAAAAAAAAAAGGGGAGATGTAGAGGACCCCAACCACATACTCCATTACAAGATGGCGCTGGCATCCGGTTCCACTGCCAGGTGAACTAGGTAACGCACACGTGTTTGGTAACTTTCCACTGCTGCGTCTCCACCTACTCCCGAGGCATCACCTGGGATAATGGGCAGCGGGCCAATCCAAGGGTGACACGTCCGAAGCGAGGACCGTTTCCTTTATAAGGGCTGGGTTCACTTCGTCCTGGGTCTCTGTCATGTTAGCTTATGCTCTCTCTCTCAAGATGCATTAAAGCTTCTCTGCAGAAGGATCCTAGTGTCCCACGTGGTTCTTGCTGGCGAGATGATAGCATGGGGCAGAAAATAACACTCAAGAAAAGTATCTAGGGAGAATGAGTGAGGTAAACATAATAGCCTCTGGGAGTGAGGAGCAGCCTGGCCCTACAGATAACACAGAAGTTATCCAGACTGTGGTAAAGTACAAGTGACATCTCCCATAAGTATGTGTCTTATTGACCAAGAAAGAATGCTCAAAATTTAGGGAAGAAGAGTCTAGGATGCAAAAACACAATAGTCTAGGGGATTTAGATGAGACCAGGCCTCATCACCAGGCTAGAAAATAAAACCATCCTCAGCTTTCCAGGTGTAAACAGGTATACATAGCCCCTGATGAAAAGAAAAGCCTCTGTGTTTAACATTCTTGGTTTCCCTAGTTGCCTATCTATGGTCCCAAGTACCTAATACCCTCTACATAGAAGAAATACAAAAAATATTTGTAGACTTCTCAGAAAGGATTAACCTTGCCAGCACCTTCTTGAGATTCTGGGATCCAAAAATATGATTACAAATTTCTGTTTTTTTAATAAACCAAACTGATACATAGTTCTTTGTTAAGGTAGGCACAAGAAGAACCTACATGTCCTGGTCTGCTTTCATTATCTGCTTTGAAAAATCTGATTTTTAAAAGTGTCTTACTTCCTGTTTACCTAATGTGAACTTCTTCATGGAGAATGAAGTCTGAGCAATTACAGAAGGCCTTTCCACACTCTTGACAGTCATAAGGTTTCTCACCATGTGAATCCTCTGATGTCAGGTAAGGTTTAAACCTTTATTAGAAGTCTTCCCACATTCATTACATTCATATGGTCTTTCATTTGTAGGATTCTCTGATGTTGAAGAAGTTTCGACTCTGAATAAAGGCCCGTCCATATTCTTTACATTCATAGTTTCTCACCAAAATGGATTCTGTGATGATTAGTAAGCGCGGAGCCACCATCGAAGGTCTTTCCACACTCCTGGCATTCATAAGGTTTCTCACCGGTATGAATTCTCAGATGTGGAAAAAGTTGTGAACATTTAGTAAAGGCTTTCCCACAGACTCTACACCCATAAGGTTTCTCTCCTGTGTGGATTTGATGATCATTAAGGTTTGAGAAGTCATTAAAGTTTTTCCACATTCTTTATATTTATAGAGTTTCTTGCCAGTGTGAATCCTTTGATGTTGGGGAAAACATAAACTACAACTAAATGTCTTGCCACACTCTACATTTATCAGGTTTTTCACTAGTATAAGCACACTGATGTTGACTAAAGGCTTTCCCACACTCCTCATATTCATAGGATTTTCCACTAGTATGAATTCTCTGGTGTTATATTAGTTCTAAGTTCTGATTGAAAGTCTGCCCATGTGTCTTACATTTATAGGATTTATCTTCATGGTTAGCTTTTTGTATGGAGTAAGAAATGCATGTTGACTAACAGTGAGCATGTCTTTAGTTATACTTGACTAACATGTCTGTTCTTTAGTGACAATATCTTGGCTTCACACATCAATTCCAGAGCTGAAAGAAAATAAAGAGGCACATATTAAATTCTTCCTCTTCTGGGGAAGTTCAATTCTGAAAAAGAAACAGAAGGAATAATTGGTTCCTTTCTTTATAAAAATTAAAATCTGTCCCTTCTTTCTACTGCTGACAACATATGGAGCATGCCTTCCTATCTTCCTACTCTTAGCTCAGAGATAAAAGCCTACTAGATGTCATAAGGTTTCCCGAAAAGAACCATCCACTAAATTGTATTTTACATGAAAAAAATTATAAATATACTATTATGTGTATGTGTGATGTGGAAGTCCCCTCTGTGTGTTGCTTGTATTGGTTAATGAATAAAGAAACTACCTTGGCCTGAAAGGGCAGAACTTAGGTAGGCAGAGAGAAGACAGAATTGAATTCTGGGAGGAAGAAAGCAGAGAGAGGAGAAGCCATGGACTCACCACCAGAGATAGACATGCTGAGACTTTGCTGGTAGGCCATGACCTCATGGTGATATGCAGATTAATAGAAAAAGGTTAAATAATATGTAGAGTTAGCCAATAAGAAGTTAGAGCTAATGGGCCTAATATTAAAGCAGTGACTTAATTAATACAATTTCTATGTGGTTATTTCGGGGCTAAGTTAGCCGGGCAGCCAGAACAAACAAGTGGGACCTCCCTTGCAAGATGTGTGTGTGTGTGTGTGTGTGTGTGTGATTTTGTGTATATGTACATGTACCACATGTGTGCAGGTGCTTGTGGAATTCAGAAGAGGGGAAGAAAGCGTCAGATACTCAGGAATTGGAGTTACAGACAACTTTCAGTCATCTGATGTAGATGCTGGGGACTGAACCCAAGTCCTCTGGAAAAGCAGCAAGTGCTATTAACTGCAGAACCACCTCATCAGTGCCCCACTCCTAATCTTACAAGGGAAGAAACTTCTTTAAAATGCTATTCATGAATAGAAGATAATTACCTGACCCAAGATCACTCCAGAAACCTGAAGAAAAAAGAAAAGAACCTATCACACCCAGACATGGTGACATAGTCTCACTACTGGGAAAAAGACAAGACCCTGTCTCAAAACTTAAACAAAACAAAAAATAGCCTGTTCTTTTCCCTGATGGGCTAATGTCTCTCTTTGCCAGACCTGTTTCTACATCACTTTTCCATACCTTTTTCTTGTCTCCCTTCTCTTGTTCATGTGGGAAAGTCCCCATATTAAAGTTTCCTATTGCGTGTTCATTTTTTCCCTGTCTCTGTTTTAACACCTGTCTTTGCTGGGATAGAAGTTACCATGCATTCTATTGTTGACAGAGGTTTCTGTCCCACCCAGTCCCTCAGCCGTTTGGTCCCAAAGAAACACACAGAGGTCTACATTAATCATAAACTGGTTGGTCTATTAGCTCAGGTTTCCTGTTAACTAATTCTTACGTCTTAAATTAGCCCATAATTCTTGTCTAGCCACGTGGCTTGGTACCTTTCATCAGCGAAGCATTCTCATCTTGCTTCCTCTGTGTTTGGGTGACGACTGCAGACTGAATTTTTCCTCTTCCCAGAGTTCTCCTGTTCTCGTCGCCCCACCTCTACTTCCTACCTTGTTGCCCCACCTATACTTCCTGCCTGGCTACTGGCCAATCAGTGTTTTATTAAAATAAAGTGACAAATCTTTACAAAGTACAAGATCATTGTCCCACAGCATTCTATATCAATGTCTAGAAAATTAAATGCTTAGGTAGTTCTCAAATAAGGCTAAGCAATTTTTAACACTGACAAAGCAGACATTAAAAGAGCTTATGAAGAGAGCTGATCAAAGAAGCATATGATTTTTAAAACTTCATACAGATCAAGACATTACTGAATTATTAAATTCTTAGCCAACAGTTGTATAGCTCATATCCAAACAAGGTTGTTATCATTTTGCTGACCTTCCCTATCATCTGGGTACCCTGTCCCTTTAAGAAACAATCTCTGCCCATCCCCAATGGGTGGGCGGCTTCTCTCCCAGGCAAGCCCTTCTCTCCTCAGCAGGCCCTCTTCTGAAGAAGTAACTTCTGCCTCTCTCTCCTTGACTCTGCCTTCCTCTCTCTCTCTCTCTCTCTCTCTTTCTCTCTCTCTCTATTTTTTCTTCCTTCTACTCCATAATCCCCTATCCATATACTCTTTTCAATAACCACTAAATAAACTCTATACCCAAGCTCTCTCCACATGGCGCATCTGTCTCCCACTCAACGTGGTCTCCCACCTACCAGGGGACCTACCAGGGTCACAGCCACCATGAATCTTTCAGGAATAATATAAGCACTCTAGCACTATATTTGGGCTATTTTGTCTATTTGTTTTTGTGGTGCTGGGGACTAAAGCAAGAGTCTGTATGTGCTAGGTAAATCCTATGCCACTGTATTACATGATAATATACGTGAAGTGAATGCTTTCATACAACCATTACTGGGGATAAGAAACAGACACAATTAGCATTAGAACTGTTATTCCTTTTGGTCTGGTCCCTTTAAGGGGCAAGCCACACCCACTCCCAGCCACTTGTGACCCCCTCGTCGCCATCTTAACCCCTTCCTTCTGTCCCCTCTCTCGGCGTGTGCACACGTGTCTTTATGTCTCTCTGTCTCTCTGCCTCTTCTTTAAGTAATAAATGTTTAGCTTTATGTTTAGCCTTATGTCTATTTACTCCACCGTCTGCTCACCTGCCCACCTGACTCTCCCAGCCGCATGGCTGGTATCAGCCTGTAGCGGTGGGGAACCTGCTCCGCTCTGGCAGCAGCCTCTGCCTGGCTCCGCTGGGGAACATGCTAGCATTATATTTTTTTAAAGAACAAAAAGAACAACTCCCAAAGCTTACTTCACACATTTTACCATGGTGTGCATGCGTTGATTCCCAGCAGCGGTCAAATGTGTGGGACCAGGCTTGGCTGAGGCAGTCAATCTCCGAGGCCCCTTTTAGACCTAAGAGACATTTTGGCTGACGTACTGAAATGGACTTAAGTCACATGGTTGGACATAGACTCTAAAATGGGCACTTACAGTTCAAAGCCAGGTCCACTGTTACCCCTGTAATGCCTCTTACAAAAATCTTTTTAAATTGAGCCTGTCTGATACAAATGAACAGAGCATATATATGTCCATGGTTTTTGGTCTCTGCACTCTCACCCCGCCTCTTAGTAGCCAGTGTCTCACACCACCATGGTGCCAGAGGTACTGGCCCCTCCACCACTCCCTTAAGCCCACACTTCCCAACCCCCTCCTATGGAGCAACATTCTTTCCCTTCCCTTTCCCAATTGGGAGGTTCAGGGTCAACTTCCACCTTCCCCTCCCTCTCCTGCCTCACCGCTGCACTCCTGACCCCTTCTGCACACTGGGCTAGCCCCTCCCATGCTCCCTTTTCTCTTCCAAATCTCTCTCAGTTAGAAAAATGGCTAGGTTCCTTTTCTACTAATCCTTTTGCTTACCCATTTTATCTCTTAGTCAGTACCAGATATTAGGAAGGAGTTAAGAAAGGTTGAGGAGGGTCCCCAAACTCCTTTATGAAAATTGGTGAAAATGGCCTTTAAAGTTTTTAATGCCCGAGAAAAATAAGCTGACTCTTCCTGACAGACAGAGCTACAACAATCTACAGGCCCAGGCCTTAGCAGCTGCCCTAAGGTCACAGGAAGGGGGACAAGGGAAGCCAAGCACAGGGCTCTATCAAGTGTGACCTAAATGGTCACGTGGCATGATATTGCACTACACCTGCTCCGAGGTTGTGCCCTATCTGCCAGCAACCTGGACACTGGAAATCACAATGCCCCCCCATGCAGGCTTGTCCTCTATGCCAAGTCACAGAGCCCGACCTCATCACCATCAGCAAGTGAAACTGTGCCAGCCTTCAAACGTCTCAGCCTTGCAGAGGATTGATGCTGCTCAGATTTGGTATATCCCATAACCCTCTACGAGCCTAGGGTCAAACTCAAATGGCGGGTAAGTCCATTACTTTTATTCTCACTCGGGACTTAAGTTTCAGCTATGGGGGTAGATGGGACCCATTCCTCCCCACTTAAAATTTTGCCACTGCCCTGCATTCTTGCAGGACAATTTTTCTCTCATTCTTTCTTAGTGATACCTGCTTGACCAGCACCTTCACTGGGTGGAGAAATCCTTAGCCACTTCCCCAAAGCTTTGTTCCACTTCTTGGAGCCCCTTTTAACCCCACCCATCTCCAAGATTCTATTTTACAGGTTCACTCCTCCTGCCAGATGTGTGCCCAGGCCAACCAACAAGGAACTCTCCACATACACTAGCTTTGTGGACACCAACCGGGCAAAGATTGGCAGGTTAATTTCGCCCATATGCCTACTCATAAAAAACTCTGTTATCTCTTAACACTTGTGGACACTTTTACAGGATGGATAGAAACGTTTCTGGTCTTCAGGGAAACAGCAGGTGTGATGGCTCAGAGTCATGAAGCTGGTGTCAGAAGCTCTCAACATCTCCTGGACAATGGGACTCATCAAACAACAACTAACCAAGCTCTCCCTTGAACTCAGGTTATCTTGGCCCTCGCCTCAGGGCCACCCCACATTCTCCTACAGGCCTGAGCCCTTTTGAGCTGCTTTATGGCAGGTCCTTTCTCCTTAACCATCACCTCCCAGTTCAAACTCCTCCACTGGCGGGGTCCCTACCCTACCTCTCCTTTTTAAGGTCCCTTCTCTATTTACACGTTGTCTCCCTGCCACCACATCAGTAGACCCTAATGCCCCTTAACCTGTCCTTCTCTCCCCAGAGGACAGAGTACTCCTCAAACAGTTAACTCCTAGGTCTCTTGAACCTCGATGGACAGGACCTCACACGGTAATCCTCACCACCCTCTTGGCTGCCAAGCTCTTGGGACACCCATGCTGGTACCATCTCTCCAGGCTCAAGCGGGCACCTACTCAAGACACTTGGTCTGTCCAGCAGACAGGACCTTCCACCCTCCAGTTTTCCAGGATGCCACAATGAAGGGTCTACCTGCTCCTCATTCTGGCATATTCACCTTTGGTAATAACAATATTTTCTTCTTAGACACCTGCCTTCTCACCTCCCTCAAGGAACAAATGCCGGCATCTCCGGAATGACAGCTGACAGGATGCCTTTCCAGGCACACTTTGCTGAATGTGGACACTTGGCTCTCCCCTTCCCCATGCAGCCCACAGGAAGTAGCCAGATTTGAGTCTATGCCCTTTTCTCCAAAGAAAACCTAAATGTTTGTCATAATTACCATTCCAATTTTCTGTCACCCCTATATCCAAAGAGTCTGGAATGTCAAGTTGGGAGCATAAGCCCCAGTTCCTCGCATCTATTCCAGTCCCCAGGCCTGCTCTGGACTCCAAATCCCAGCAGGCCAGGATATTTATACTTTTTCCCCAGGGTATTTAAGTGATCTCCGAAAAGAGGAACACGTGGTCCCTTTTCTTTCCTCCTGGTGGTCACATAAGCTGCCTCCTGATTCCCTCCCTTCGGAGCCACCCGAGAGCACAGAACTCACAATAAACCTGGATATTTCTTAATTTGGCTTGTTTTGATTAGGCTTGATTGGGAATTTTGCGTCAACAGGGAGCTCGCATTAAGAAATATTCCTAACAAGTTCATAACCATTTCATTTTCTGAATATATGTTACACTTAATTTTTTTTCAGGTAAGGTCTCACTAATACAGTCCTGACTGGCCTGGAACTCACTATGTAGACTGGACTGGCCTTGAACATAAAAAGATCTGTCGTCGATGTTGTGACATGGGTGTTAGGACTCAGAAACACTTTAAAAATGAATTTAGCCTTTTGTAGCTGCAAGGGTATTTGGCTTTAATGACTGAACCACTTTCCCTTCACTCAGGGCATTTTTATTTTTCTCCATTTTTTGTTTGTTTGTTTTATAATTAAGCCAATTGATTTCCATATGCTCAAAACAACCTGAATGAAGCTTCCAAAAATACAATGCCAAGAACAAACTCTCAATTCATCAGGGACCAGTTTTCCAGGTTTCCTGAACTATAGACTTTGTATCCTTGGGAAACACTCAGATAAGATTCACATAGGCGACAAAAGATATCTGCTAAACAAAGGATGGATTAGAGCTAGGTGCAAGCACTCTGGAGCTAGGCCAGGTACAGTTCAGCAGGGATTAGGGCTATGTGCTAACAACACCCTAGCACCAGGCCAGGTGTGGCCCAGTGGGAATTCTGCCACAAAGATCTGCCTATCTGCCTCCTGAGTGCTTGAATCAAAGGCATGTACTTCCATGCCAGGCCTAAACTTTTAAAATAAAAATGATTTTTACTTTGTGTGTATATATGGTTATTTAGGTGTGTGTGTGTGCACGTGCATGCATGGAGGCCAGAGGTCAGTCTCAAGTATCATTTCTCAAGCTTACTATATACCTTATTCTTGAGAAAGGGTCTCTTTTTAGCCTTGGTGTTCAACTGTTAGGCTAGGCTGGCTAGCTATCAAATCCCAGGCATCTACCAGTCTCGGCATCTCCAGTGCTAGGATTACAAGCTTGTACCACGATGCCCACATTTGTTTGTGGATTATGAAGATCCAACTCAGGTCCACATGCCTTCCTAACAATCACCTTACCCCAGCCCTGATTTCTACTTTTTAAAGTAGATTTCTACTTTTTAAAGTAGTCAAAACATGAACTGCTCAATATAGACAAGCTGATCAAAAATATTTAAATTGTAATAATATGAAATGAAAAATAGCACAGGGAAAGGACACACACACACTTCTTAGGGTGGGAATAGTCAAGTTACATAATTAAAAATGTGGCATATGTTTTAATGTGGCATTTGTCCCAGGAAGAAGCTTACGGACTCAACATCCCTTGCTTACCTGAATAGAGGCTTCTGGTCAGCTCTCTGTCAACCATCCAGGGCTCTTTCCATAAGATCACAGCTGGTTTAGAATTGGAAAGTCCTGCTCACAAGAAAAGACATGAGACATGGTTATGCTGTGGGTGTCCCAGAATCAGATTCAGTCCCTTGTAATCAAGGAAAAGACGCCACTAAAGGAACAGAGAAAAAGATGAAGAAGATGAAGCTGTCTATTTCACTCCATTCAGCACAAGCCATTCCTTGAGGGAGCAGAAATTCAGCAGAGAAAGGAGATTTCCCAAGCACAGCCTCTAATTTCAGAGGGTAGTTGTCCTTGCCCACTGAAACTGGGGGGCTGAAATTCTCCAACATCACTGCTTTCTACAAAGTCATCTGAGCAGAGTCCAGATGTTCCCATCCCCAAGGGAAGTGTATGGACACATCCCTAAAGAGCAGTGATTCCCTGAAACTCTTAAGCATGCTTTCACAGTGGGAAAGAGACAAGATGGAGCAGAGGCTCTGCAGGAAAGGACGGAGCTAGTGAAGGGCTGTGATGTTATTACTAGAGGACATGTCTTCTGTGAGCAAAGGGTGTGTCTATGTGTGGGCAACGGACTGCACTTTGCCAATGATATGAAATAGAAAGCAGCCAGTCCAGTGAGCTGCTTCTCTTCTCTTACTTTTTCATTGAACCACAGAAAGAAAAATATAATGGGCTTCAAAAATATAGTGTATTTTTAGTAAGGTTTTAGAATGTGAGAGAGAAACAAATCTAAAAATGCTCCAAAGAAGAAAAGGCAAGCCACAAGTGGCAATGGACTTTTTGTTTGTTTGTTTGGGTTTTTTTTTGCTTGTTTGTTTGTTTTTTGGTGGAGACAAGGTTGAGACAGGGTTTCTCTGCATAGCCCTAGCTGTCCTGGAACTAACTCTGTGTAGACCAGGCTGGCCTTGAACTCATAGAGATCTGCCTGACTAAGCCTCTTGAGTTCTGGGATTAAAGGTGTGTGCCACCATTACCTGACTGGAAATGGACCTCTTAATAGCAGCACTTGAACCCTAAAGAAAACAAATCATCCCTTTATTACTCTTAGAAAGGGAAAATAATTCTGGCTCATAACTCTATACTTAGTCAAATTATTGTAATGATTAAATTAAGAATTCTTGAGGCTGTAGAGATGGCTTAGTGGTTAAGAGCACTTAACTGTAGACGACCTAGGTTTGGTTCCCAGTACTTACATGGTGGCTCACAACTACCTGTAACTTCAATTGCAGTGGTCTTTCAGGCACACACATGGTATATATCCATACAAGCAGGCAAAATACTTATACATATAAATCTTTTTTAAGTATAATTTTCAATCTACAAGGAATTACAAAATTATATCTACTATAATTTTCTTAGGAAGTTATTAGACTATCTTATATTAAAATCAGGAAAAAGAAAAAATATATTTAGAAACAGGAATGGTGAATAAAATCTGAGCACAGTAAAAGGAAAGTTTCAGGACAACTCCTGGCAGGAGACCAGGAAAACAAGAGCTAGGAATAAAAGGAAAACTTTATAAGGAAGATTTACGAGTGTCTGAAGATGTGGAAAGTATTTACAGGCAACTGATAGAAAAGTTAAGAGGCTGTGAAAAATAGCCCTCCATGTACATGAATCCAGGAAAATAGAGAAACAAATCAATTCACTTTCAGAAAAGCAAAAACTGTATTAGGAAGAATCCCAGGTCTACATATTATTTGTCTCAGATTAACAGTATCTGTGTGATCCTAAAAACAGGGGCTGCAGTGAGCTAAGCAAAACCATGATATAAATGTCTACCACGGCAACATCAAATAACTGCCACAGTAGGAGAATCCCACTCCGCTTATATCTAGCCAGAGGTTGCTTGAAAATGTTTATCAGAAAGTAAGAACAGGGACATTAACTGGAGACACTAACACACAGGGAAAATAGCAAGAGTTAAGAGCTACAAGTGGGACTGGGAAGCGGGCCTATCATTTTCATATTTTTTAACATGTATTAAATTTATGGATGATAGAAGATAATTTATGGGAGTCAATCCTTACTTACATTGTTCTACGGAATTGATCTAAGGTTCTGAGGTTGTTGGTAGAAAGTACCTGTACCCACTAAGTTATCTGTCCAGCCCTACCATGTCTTAAACTTCTGAAATGAAAAATTAATTAAATATTAATTTAAAATATTCCTGTTCTTTTAAATTATAGGGATTTTTGCAATTGTTGTAAAACTGATTTAAATTTTTGAATTTTAAAATTTCATGACAGCAGAAATTTCTACAATATAGATACTAATGAATAAACCTTTCATTTGAGGCATTTTGTTAGGCAAGATCCTTGAACCCCTTTTCTGACACTTGTTTCCCATACTTTGACTACCAGCTCTTCCATTTTCCTGCTCCATTGTTGTAGCTCTCACAATAAGACTACAATCTCAAAAAAAATGTTTTAAAGAATAAAAGGGTTGTAGAAAAAAAAAGACTACAATCTCAAGTATAGCCACATTGCTTAGCAGCAAGGATATATTCTGAGAACCACACTTCTAGGTGGTTTCATTGTACATCATTGAGTGAACTTCCATATAGTACAGCTTATTGTTCCTATGCTACAAACTTATGCTGTATGTTATTATATTAAAAACTAGGCAATTTCAACACAATAGTCTGTTGGCAAGCATGGAAAATATATAAAAAAGAAAATACCAGGCAACAGGATTTTTCCATTCCACTTTAATTTTATGGAACCACTTTTATACATGAGGCTTGTAGTTGACCAAAGCATTGCTATGTGGTACACCACTGCATAGGTTTCCATGTCGGTTGTCCTAGTCAATTACTAAATCTAAGGGTCCCGATTGTGGAGCAAGCAGTCTGCTGAGCTATCTCTCCAGCACCTTCTTTTCTTTCTTTCTTCCCTCCTCTCTTTTCTTCCTTTGTTTTGTTTTGTTTTTTGAAACTAGGTTTTTCTATATAACAGCCCTGGCTGTTCTGGAACTTGCTCTGTAGATCAGTCTGACCTCAAACTCAGAGATCTGCCTTCCTCTGCCTCCTGAGTGCTGGGATTAATGGCATGCATCATCACTGCCTGGCTACACTTTCTTTTCTAATTAAATTTTTTTTGAGTTTTTATTTTTTTTTTATTTTATGTGGATGGGTGTTTTGACTGCATGTAAGTTATGTACCATGTACATGTAGTACATGCAAAGGACCAGAAAAAGGCACTGAATCCTTCTGGAATTGGAGTTACAGACAGTTGTGATCTACCATATGGGTGCTGAGCGCCAAACCCAGGGTCCTCTGTTAGAGGAGCCAGTGCTCTTAACCGCTGACCCATCTCTCCAGCCTCTTCTTTTCTAATCTTTAACCTTGTTTTTTCTGTTATCAAAGTGCTTTGTTAATACCTACAAAACAATATTAAGTTATTATCTATAGGAGACCAGACACTAGAGCACCCATATTTAAAGAAAAAGTTGAGTGTGGCAGTGTGCCCCTATAACTCAAGCATTAGAGTGAGGGTGAAGACAAGGAGATTCCCAGGGCTTCCTGGCCAACTGGCCTACCCAATATCGCAAGATCTAGATTCAGTGAGAGATTCTATCTCAAAAAATAAGGGAGAAAGAAAATGAGAAAGACACTCAGAAGTCAATCTCTGCCCTTCACATGTGTGCTCACTCTCTCTACACACACAGACACAGACACACAGAGACACAGACACACACACACACACACACACACACACATGAAATTTTAACCTATGCTTATTTATAGCTTTAGGGAAGGGAGGATAGAAAACAAGGTAGGGGTCTTTGGGCTCACAGGCTCGCAGGAGGGGAACCTGGATTTTTTTTTTTTGAGACAGGGTTTCTCTGGGTAGCCTTGGCTTGGTAGACCAGGCTGGCCTTGGACTCACAGAGATCCACCTTCCTCCGAGTGCTGGGATTAAAGACATGCAGCACCTAGCTAGGGAACCTGGAATTTTAAAAACACACAGTTGTTCCTTCAAGGAAAGGAATCAGAAACTCGTTTTCTGCCCAAAAGACTGGAGTGATGTGCTTTTTAGCCTGGTAAACTTTAAAATTTGTGTGGTCAAAGACCACACCAGACCGTTCTCTAAAACTTGATTTTTTTCAGGCAATCTATACAACTATGTTTATGGAAGGTGTAGTGGAAACTCTACAAAAAGTTTGATGCAGTCACATCTAATCTGTATTTAGCTTACTTTGTTCCTCAAAGAGACTTTGCACTCGATTGAGTTAAACATCACAAGAACAGTTTTCACCAGGTTATGGCGTGTTTACATACACCTAAAATAAACAACTCAGTGTCATACTCCTGAAATTCGAACCAACACTGGCTTCTGAGCCGTGTTACACCAAACTGCCTTCTTCCCTTTCATGGCTCATCTCTCTGCTGCCTGTGAAGGTCAACGAGACCCCTGCACAGGGGCAATCTAAAGAGATAGTAACTGAAGATTTTCTAGTAGGCACCTATCCCTAACACTACAGAAAATAAGAGACAGTTCTTAAGACGGCAAGAGGAATCAAAGGCAGATTACCTTCTGAAGGGGAAGAGCTAACATAATCAAGACTGGTACAAGAACATACAAATAAACCAATGGAAACGGTTTCTTCAGTTATTCAGTGCTGGAGCTCAAACTCAGAGCCTTGGGCAGGCGAGGCAAGTGCATTATCACTGACCTCTACCCCAGTGCTTAGACCAATGGAATAGAATAACAGGCTCTGAATTATATTCATACATATAGAGATACTACATGCATTTGCAGATTAATGAGAACCCAAAAGATTTTGCAATATCTGATTTGAAAAAAGGGGAATTAATAAGGTGGGGAGACCTGACCTTACTTTCTAGCATACACAAAAATCAGGTACAAGGAGATCATCCAAATGGGAAGTTGAAACTCATCACTTTGGGAATCAATAGACAATAGTTGCATGATCTTGAGATACAGAGGTCTTTTAAAAAATAATTTAAATTTTAACTGTGTATGAAACAAAAACATTTTGCTTGCATGTATGTGTACCCTGTACATGCCTGGTGCTGGCTGTAGCCAGAAGAGGGTATTGGATCTCCTGAGACTGAAGTTGTTACACATAGCTGTGAGCCACTATGTGGTCGCTGGGAATCAAACCAGGGTCCTCTGCAAGAGCAATGGATGTTCTTAACTGCTGAGCCTTCACGCCAACCTCTGACAGATGTTTAATATTTAAAGTTTGATGCAAGTGAGCTGAAGAAAAGTATAAACTCTGGCTCTCTCGTACAAAGAAATATGTGCGTTTTAAAATGGAACTTAGCAAAACCATTTGCTAACAGAAGATTTATGGTATTTTTAGTGAAATTGTAAGCTACAAATGGTACATGAAGCATAACCCGATATTGGCACAATAATGAAACTCATTAAAATATTAATATTAGTTGCTTAGTCAATTGTTCTTGGTAATTTCTGGGTTTTGAAATTTCTAAAATAATCATTTATTTAAAATAACAAACTTTGGCCATTGGCGTGCGTCATGGCGACCATGGTCCTGCTGGAGCTTGTGAAGGGACTGGTCCTGTGGAACAATACCTGCAAGATCTCCAAGACACAGACACCACAGGAGACTCCAGTGAGGATCCAGAGAGGATGGGGAACCAAAAACCAGAGGCCTTGAACCAGACCAGAACTCATTGCAATGAACAGTTGCCAGTCAAGCTGATTGGAGAAAGGGATATACTATATGGCACACGGAAGCCTCCAATGCCATCAGGACAGGCAAGGAGGTGACAGAGAGAGAGAGAGAGTTGGGAGAAAAGGAGAAGCAGGGATTTTTCTGTTTCCGATGTGGGTTTTGTTCTGTTTTGGTTTATTGAGGGGGTTTGTTGTTGTTCTTGCCTTTGTTTGCTTATTTGCTTGTTTACACTTTTCTTTTGTGTGGGAGGGATGCAACAGGGATGAGGAGAGGAATATGGTGGGACTAGGAAGTGAATAGAATTGGGGTGCATGATGTGAAGCCCCAAAAGATTCAATAAAGAAGTTTTTTTTAAAAAAAAATAACAAATTTGGGGCTGGAGAGATGGCTTAGAGGTTAAAAGCACTGGCTGATCTTCCAGAGGTCCTGCATTCACTTCCCAGCAACCACATGGTGGCTCACAGCCATCTGTAATGAGATCTGGTGCCCTCTTCTGTCTGTCGTGCAGGCATGCATGCAAGCAGAACACTATACATAAAAAAAAAATCTTTTTAAAAAAACAAAACAACAACAAAAAATAACAAATTCCATACTTAAAAAGATGAATGTTCAACAAGCGAAAGTAGAGTCAATTTTCCAACAAGTGAACATTAGGTGTAGATTGAGAATTAGGAACTAATAGTAGGCACTGCTATTCTTTTCTCAGTGGAGACAATATATTCCCAACTGACAAGTTATCACTAAGCAAACATTTCCAGAAGGCATATGAAAAGGGAAGCCCGCCATACCCTGACTATTATTTGTAGTTCACTGTGCACTCTGTCTCTTTTCTGGACAACTCACCTGGCAAAGGCTAAAACTGGGAGTAGAAAAAAAACAACTGTGACACGCCCGGTTTTTCTTGGTCAGGCCAGGGATCGTTACCAATCTTATCCCCATTATCCATCATGTACAGGGAATGGTGACCAGGAGAGAAGGGGCATCCTGCTCGATTTGAGTGCCTAGACTCTACAGGAAAGGTTTCCTTTACTGCTGCCCCGGGTTAGAACCAGACCTCACCTCAGAGAGGGTTCCCGGGGACAGAGTTCTGAAGTCATCATCTGACGGGTGACAGGAATTCCATGGTAACACACAAGATGCCACATACATCTGGGCACAGCCACAACTCCACAGGGACCAGACGTTTCATGTTCTCAGAGAAAGCCTATCAGAATGTATTACAGACGACCCACAAAAACCATTGAGGGCACTGTGGCCGCACAGGCTTCGCCTGTCCTCACCGGAAGCCCTTCCAGTCGTCTGAGATGGGAACCTGTAGCACAGGACAGAAACCTAGCTACTGCACAGCGCAGGGCTTTCTGCCTCATCCATCTAAACAGTCCCGCCAGGAGAGAGGAAACGCCCGAGTTCCGGCAAGAGGCGTGACCGGCCGCTAGGCTTTCTGGGAAGTGTAGTCTACAAAGATACCTCAGCCAAGTGCCCCCAGCGCCCTCTGGCTGCCCCCGCAGCTGCTCACGGCCAGTGCAGCCTCGCAGCCAGCGTCACCATATGGCGGCGCTGACGGGCTCGACCACTAGGGCGCCCTCGGCCCGCTTTCCCTTCCCTCACACAGTACACGCAGCCAGAGCGCTGACCGGAAGTTGGATCGGGCCGCGAGGCCTTCTGGGAGCACCGGCGCTCTGGGACTTAACGGTCGTGCGCTGCTGTTGGGGTCTATGGATCTGTCTGTGGGGCAGCTGCGTGTAGCGTCTCGGAAAGGAAACTGCGTTTCGGGGGCTGGGGGCTTGGGACTCGTGGCGCTGCCGGGAACCCTCCGCGGGAAGCGTAGGAGCGGCCCGAGTGATCCGGTTTGCGCCGGCCGCGGGTTGCGGGCTGAGCGCGGACTCTCGAGGGGGCTCGGAGCACCCCGAATAACAGCCGTGCCTCCGGGGTGCTCTCGGCCAGCGGAAGTGCCCTGTGAATGTTTGGAGTTGCAGCCAAAAAACTGGTGTGTGTGTGTGATAGAGACTCTGGTGGTTTTGAGGGGGTGTGGTGGTGAGTGTGAGGGTTGTGTACCGTGTACTAGTTCAGGCTCTCTTGGGTTTGTAGTATTTGTCATAACTAGTAACTAATGAAAACATCCTGTATTTTTTTTTAAAAGGATTCCTCCTTCATTGCCTCTTCGCCTTGATCTTCCCCTGCCCCAACACTTTGTTCTCTAACTTTTCAGTTTTTCTTTTTATAACTTTCTAAGTTCATTATTATCTAATGGTTTGCATGGCTTTTTTATTTACTTATTTATTATTTGTTTAATCTTACAGCGTTGGGGTTAAGTTTAGCGCTGCAGTCATGCCATGCAAAAGCTCTGAGCTACATTCCTAGCCCCTAAGTTAGTTTAATAATTTTTTAATGTTTATTTTTATTTATACAATATTCTGTCTGCATGAATGCCTGAAGGCCAGAAGAGGGCACCAGATCTCATTGCAGATGGCTGTGAACCACCATGTGGTTGCCGGGAATTGAACTCAGGACCTTTGGAAGAGCAGGCGATGGCTCTTAACCTCTGAGCCATCTCTCCAGCCCCGATAATTTTTTTTTTTTTTAAAGAAAGAGAGGGAGGGAGGGAGGAAGGAAGGAAGTAAGAAAGAAAGAGGAAGGAAAAGTATCTCCAAGAAAAAAAGAAAGAAAGAAGGAAAAGTATCTCCAAGCTCAGTAGCGCACATCAGCTGAGATTCATTCTCCAATCACCGTTGTTAGCAGGTTCATTGTTTTTAGCTGATCCTGGCTGCCTTTGGGTGAAACGCAGAGCAGCAGGATGAATTCAGATCTGCCCTCCATTTTGTCTTTTCTGGGACTCCGGTTAAAAAGAACTGGTTCTGAAAACATTTTCTTTTCTCAGTGGGTTACTGGATCATTCAAGGACTCTAAAAACCCCTGCTTCCAAATGTGTCTATTACATGAGCCAAAGAAAAGTTGTGTGGGTAAGCTTGTAACCCACATACAGTCTGAAGACGGTTCAATGTTACCCAAGTCACCATTTTCCACATTAAGACACATCCGTATTAATTCCGGGGCGTATCTTTTAGTGCAAGTGTTCTTGTTTGATAATACTGCTTTTTCGTTCTTTTTAAAATTGCATTTGTTGAGAATTTTATATTCAAAACCCTTTGTCTTTATGTTTCAGGTTTCTCATGAGAATAGTGTCAGCTGAGCCTTTTAATTCATTTATCTGACTTGACTGTTAATAGGTGAGTTTAATTCTGTTTTATTTATCATAATTACCAAAGTTTTTATTATTTATATTTATCTTACCCCTTTTTTGTCCTCGCTGGCTTGGTTTATGCTCTTGTCCATGTATATTTAACAAGACC